CCTGACGCTAAAGGAAATAAGACAGGAGCGTTTCCGGCTGCGTTGCTGGCGGTGCTTTTCGACCTATTTCAGTCGGGTGGCCGTGAACCTGGCTGTTTCTGTATCTCTATCCTTTTTGTCTTCAGACCTTGGTCGTACTCTGGCCGCCCTCCATGTTCACGCGACATGTGTCGTGTGCCTTGTTTCTGGTTGTTTCCCGCTCTGTTGGTCGCAAAGTTCCATGCAGTGCTTCATTTGCACAGCCCGCCAGGGTTCTAAGATCCTTATAGTGTGGTGGTACTCTGAGACTGGAATATCAAGCGAGTCGATCTATATGTGTTCATTTACTGGTGACACTATGAACCTGACTTTGAACTGCTTTCTTGGTTTCCCTTCTGCCTGCTTCCATCTGAAAGCCTTCCGGGTCAGCTCAGATTCACATCCTACTTTTTAAAAAAAGTTACTTGTTATTTTATGTGTATGTATTTGGTTGTGTGTATGTCATGGACATTCCTGGTGCCTGTGAAGGCCAGAAGAGGGCGCCTGAATTGGAGTTAGTCAGTTGTGAGCAGCCATATGGATGACCAGAACTGAACAGAGGTCCTCCCATGTAAGAACAAGTCCTCTCAACTTGAGCCTTCTCTCAAGCCACCAGATCTTACTCTTAACCATACCAGCACAATCCTTGTAGCTGACATCCAGAACACTTAAAACATTGTCCACAATTTCATATATAAAGTCTTACTGTGTAGCACTGGCTGACCTGGAACTTGCTATGCCTAGCTTCTGCCATTCAACATACACCATTACCTGGGATTATAATTCCCTCACCTTTCCAAACATATAGACAAATATCTACTCTAAGAGACTGTTTCGTAACAGGCCCCAGACCTTAGCACAAGTGACTCCATGATGAAAGTACCATTCAGGCTGTAAAACTCAGAATGTAGACAGTGCTACCTGCCAAGAAGATGAAAACAGACCTAACCCATCAGTATCCATAGTTCTGAGAAAGTCTCTAAATCACTAACCTTGCTTTTTGGCTTCTGTAGTTCTGCTTCTGGCTAACTGTTCTTGTTAACTGAAGCATGCTAATCCAGAACGTGGCTTTGTGCTTAAAAGCTCATCCTATGAAAGGCTCAAGGCCTTTCTTGTTTGGAATCCTAAACAACCAGTGTAGTCACCAGCCAGTTAATAAAGACTTTCTATTGGCCTAAACCCATGTCTGAGTAGTGTTTGTTCCCTGTGGAATGGATACCCTACAACATTTTAAGGTTCTCTGGGTTTTGATACTGATTTAACCTTCCAAGCCTGCAAAGCTGAATGTACCAACTAGGGAAGTGAGCTAGTGTGAAAGGGGCATACTGCAATAGTACTTGCAGTGAATGTTACCGGAACCAATTTTATTATTTTATTATTTAATGTATATGGGTGTTTCATTCATATGTGCCCAGTGCTCACGGAAACCAGAAGAGGGTACTGGATCCCTGGAACTGGAGTAAACTAAGAGTTTTGAGTGTCACATGGGTTCTGGAAACAGAACCTGGGTCCTCTGGTAGAGCAGCCAGTGGTCGACCAAGAGAGTCATCTTTCAAGTCCCACCTGAGTTAATTTTAAATTGCCAAAATTAGGAATCAGGACAAATAGATGAAATGATCAATTCTTGAAGTTATTTTTTTAGATTTATTAACTTTGTATGGTATGAGTGTTCTCACATGAATGTGTATGGTATGTGTATATCACATGAATGCCTGGTGCTCATAGAAACCAGAGTCGTTGGATCTCCCAAAACTAGAATTACAGTTGTGAGTTACCACGTGGGGCCTGAGAACTGAACCCAGGTCCTCTGCTAGTATGACAAGTGCCCCCAAACACCGAGTCATCTCTCCAGGCCCCTGGTAAACAGATTACAGTACAAGATTGAGGTTAGGAGTTATCTTAGTATTTCATTGTAGGTCTCAGCAACATGCACCCCATACATTTTTTTTTGAGACAGGGTCTATAAAGCCTTGGCTGTCCTGGAACTTACACTGTAGGCCAGAGTATCTTCTAAACTCACAGAGATCACCTGTCTATGCCACTCAAGTACTGAGTCTAAAAGTATGAACCACCATACCACATCCCTGTAAATTCTTTAAGCTAGTACACCAGAGTGGGGGCATGTCTCACCAACACAGGGACAGACCAACTGACATGAACATTAATTTTTTAAAAAGGGGGAATTTTTTTGAGACAGGGACTCTTTACATAGATCTGACTGTCCCAGAACTAGGTGGACTAGTCTGGCCTTGAACTTAAAGATGTCTGCCTCCCAAGTACTAGCACCAAAGGTGTGCACCACAAGTTCTAGTCCTCCTTTGTTATTAACATAACCAGGGGCAGGATTGTCATTTGGAACTAATTAATGCAAAGTAAATTTAAAAAAAGTGGTACTCCCCCACACCCAAGACAGGGTTTCTCTGTGTAGTCCTGTGTCCTGGAACTTGCTCTGTAGACCAGGCTGAACTTAAACTCAGAAATCCATCTGCCTCTGCCTCCCAAGTGCTGGGATTAAAGGCATGAGCCAATACTACCCAGCTAGGGAAACCTTTTATCACAAGTGCCAACAGCAGGGAGCAATCTCTGACAGTGTCATGGTAAGGGAAGCATCCAGGCAGACAAG